GTCCCCTGGATCCTCAACATGAGGGCAGAGTGGACTCAAAGTTGATTGGGGGTCTGGGACATACTTATTCTAAAAAAACCACTGTTTATCTGAAATTGGGACCTGCTTACACTCTAAGGCCCTTGCTCAGGCCCCAGGGGTTCCAAGCAGCCAGGGAGGAGGCTCAAGCGGAGCGGAGGAGGTGCCCAGGTCAGGAGGGGTGCCGGAGCAGAGGAGAGGGAAGCTGTTCCGGAGCGGAGGGGAGGGGAGGGGAGGGGAGGGGAGGGGAGGAGGGAGGGGAGGGGAGGGGAGGAGGGAGGGGAGGAGGGAGGGGAGGAGGAAGGGGAGGGGTTCTGAGCCCGCGGGGACCCTCTGAGAGGGAAGGTGGAGGGGTCTGGACGAGGGAAGAGGATGGGGGGGGCGGGAGGCAGGGGAGGGGACGGTGGGGAGGGGCCCCCCCGCCCCGGAGCACAGGGGAGGAGAAGGGGGGAGGGAGGGGCGCCGGCCGCGCATGCTCAGCAGCCCCTGCAATGCGGCGCCGCGTCCTCTGTTAACCCAGTTCCGTTCCGCGGAGCCCGGGTCGTCTTCCGGGCTGTGGGTCATGGGGCTTCCCCGCGGCCGCAAAACCCGGGTCCGGCTGTGCGAAGGGGGCCTGGGCGGGTTCAGGTTTCTCTGGGGAGAGGGGGTCGGGCTCACTCCTCCCCATCATGCTTTCGCGCAGGGGCGCCCCAAGGCACAGGGGGCCACGCGGACCCTAGGGAGAGGGTTGCCCAGCTGACCCAGGAAGGGACCTGGGGGTGAGCTGGGCATCAGCTGGGGCGTCGCAGGAGGCCCAGAGGTGAGGCCTGATCTCCTCACTCAACTCCCTCATCTAGAGATCGCCCCCCCACCCATGAGATGAACCCCACTTGTGAGCCCCACCCGTGAGCCCCACCTGTGAGGTCAGCCCCATGCCTGACGCCAGTCAGCCCCCTCAGCTGGGTGAAACCTAAAGCTGCCCTTGCCCCAGGCTCTGCTCAGCACAGCTCTGGGCACCTGATCAAGTCTGTGCTTCGGTAGGACTCGGTTTTCTCATCTGTGAAACAGGGTGCCCAGTCCGACCTCGCGGGGTGAGGAAGGTCACTGAGAAGCCGTGTGAGGATGCGGTGCTGCTGAAGGTCAGGCCACAATCGCTGCCCCAGGCCCCTTTCCTCGGCAGGTCCTTCCTCCCCAACATTTAGCCACCACCCAGGGTCATTGCCAGCCCCTGCTTTCGGGTGCTCGGGGCTCATGCCCGCAGCATGCCCTCCAAAGCCAGCAAAACTGCCTCCAAGAGCAGCCACTTGGTGCCGACAATGAGTGGGGGGTGGGGGGGGGGGGGCAACAAGACGTGGTTTTAAGACTCTGGTGCCCCATGACCACCCTACCCCAGCCAATTCATTTCCCTGGAACTGCTTCTGTTAACAGTACTTCAGTAATTCAGGTGTGTTCACAGACTCCGAATGCCCCACAGTCCCCTCCTCAATGACACAGCAAGCCTTACACTCTAGTCCCTACAGCCCGCGGCCCCCTCTCCACCCTCCTCCCAGGACAGCTGGGCGCAGATCTCGGAAATGGTCTTCCTGGCAAGGGAGTGGCTTTGGCGCTTGCCACAGAGCAGGCTGGGAGCCCTTACTCAGGACATGTTCTGTGGGATGTGACTGCAGAGTGGCCGCGAGGCCTTGCCTCCCTGCGTCCCCTCCACAGAGATGCACCTCCCCAGTGCTCAGGTGTCTGAGCGTCCAGATGACCAGGGCCTCCCCCGCAGACCCAACACTGCAGTCAACCCTCTAGACACCCTCCATCCCTGGCCTCACACCTGGGAGCCTAACCCCTCTCCTGCATACACCCTACTTGCCCCTCATCAAAATGCATCCACTCAAAGCATGTGTTCATCCCCTCAACACCAATATCTGGAGCGCTCACCACCAGGGTGTGGGAGACATGGCGGTGAACCGAGCAGATCAAGGCCCTGCCCACAGGGCCCAGAAGTCTGGTGGGAAAGACAGCCATAAAGTTGGGTCCCAGATTCCACTGGAGGCTGAGGGCAGACTCGTCCGAGGAAATGTCATCAACGGAAAGTTTGGGAAAAGCGTTTCCAGAAAGAACACATGCGTGCAAAGGCCCCAGGGACGTGAGGCACTGGAAGAAGCCAAGGGCCTGGGGAGAGTTAGTGGGAGGGAGAAGATGGGGCCAGATGAGAACCCGGGGTTTACAGAAGCCAGCCCAGCAGCCTGACGGAGGGGCTGGGCGCAGGAAGGGCACAGAGCTGCAAGTGCCCTCCGGGAGCAAGCGGTCAGTGGAGAAAGGCCTTCAGGCTCGGGGGTTTTTGAGCTGTGTGGGAGGACCTGGGCAGCTTCACGGAGGAGGGGGCCCGGGGCCTGCAGGCTGGGTGGCCAGCAGGGGAGCGAGGCAGAGAGGGGAGGTCTCGGGCAGCATTGTGCCTGTGGGTCGCTCCTAAGCATGCTACTCCCTGCACGCTGGAAACAAGCACACAGTAATTTTATCCCTACTAGGGCTGGGGACACTGAGGCACGGGAGGGGGCGGGGGGTGCCGAGCCCCAGCCCATCGCTGGCCCACACTCAGCACGAAGGTGAGAGTCCACATGGAGACCCTGTCCCCTCCCTCCCTCCCACTGGCCCCCTCAGCGAGGAAGGCCGGGAGGGGCTGCGGAGGGTCCAAGACACCCGAGATCCCCGCACAGGGGGAGGCGACCAGTTGTCTATAGACTGCTTTTCCGTCAGAGAAACATGCTGAACACCATGTGCAAAATGACAGGCCGTATGGGATGCGCTGCGGGATGGGGGCGGGGGGGTTACAGATGGAGCAAAATTGGCTGAGAGTCGATAGCTGTTGAAGCTGGGGGATCATTCTGTCACTTTCTCTATATTTAGGGATTTTGAAAATTTCCATCATAAAGAGTGACACAGGAAACAAAAATGTCCCAGACCCCCCAGTGCTGGGCAGTGCAGAGGCCTGAGCATGGGGGGCAAAGCAGCAGGGCCCCCCCCCCCGCCCCGTCCTGAGGGAAGGCAGGATGGGGCGGGCCAGCCGCTCTGGCTCCCCACAGGCCCTGGCCGCAGCCCTGCTCCCGCCACCCATCCCAGGCTGTGCCCAGCGAGGACATGGGCCCGGAGCAGGGCTGACAGGAGCCCCAGGCTCTGCACAGCTCCCCAGCCGCACCACTGGCAGGGGCTCCAGGGACCTGGCCTCAGGGACACGGAGGCAGCAAAGCAGGCCGTCCGGTCAGGAAGGGGCGAGCAAGTGCACTCCTGCAGGGGCAGAATGAGCAGGTGGTACTCTCCCAACACACCTGCGATTTTAGGCTTCTGCTGGTCCTGACCCTCCCTACCTGTAGAGCACTTTGAGGGTACCCACGGTAGGGGGGTGAGAGTACTTCAGAGGAGCTGCATGATTCCACAGAAACATACCCACGTCCTTCTCCGCTTGAGCCTCACAAACTCCTATTCATCCCTCAAGACCCTCCTACTGCTCCATGCCCTCCGCTGTGCTCATGCCACACACATGGAGTTGCAGTGGCTCATGTGGATGTTTGCTCAGTGCCAGGCTCGTGGGAGGGGCTCCCTCACCAGTCTTGGGGACATCTGAGGGGGGCTCCCTCCCCTCCTCCCGTGGCCTGGAACAAGCCTATGTTCCTCCTGCCTTAGGGACTCCACACCTGCACACATATCCTACCAAACCACTGCAAGCCAGCACCCACCAGTGCCCCCACCCAATGTCAGGGATCTCGGGAGCTCCCCTGCGCTCCGGGAGCACCGTGCGTGCGTGCATGCCTGCATGCATCAGGACATGCTCAGCGGCAGCACTTCATCCAGGCACACGTGCCCGGGGGCTGCTCTGGCTCACAGAGTCGCCTGGAGATCCACAGCATTCCCCCTCCCAGCCCGGCCACCACGGCCAGGCCACTGAAGCCAGCAGAGCCCACTACAGTCCCCCAAGCAGCTCCCAAAGGTCCTTTGTCTTCAAGGGACGGTTGGGAGCTTATGCTTCTGGATCTGCCCAGAGTTTCCCTGCTCACATCCCCCGCACAGCCCTCAGGCCCCAACAAGGGCAGCAAGCTCTGAGGACATGGGACTGACCCACTTAGGCACTGCAGGCCCCTCACCGTGAGCTGGGACAGGAGTGCCCACCCCTGGAAACACTGAGGCCTGAAGAAATCGCACAGGGTGGGCTCAGCTGCGTGCCCAGCAGGCCACTGGACTGACCGGCAGACCCCACAGACTGGACCCCACAGTCTCAGGCAGGATCCAGGCCAGCAATACTAAGCTCAGCGCCTCTTTGGCCAGAGAAGGAGCCTCTCAGCTCAGGCTTGTGTCTGAACGCTAAATGGGGGTCCCCTGGCAGGCGAGACAGCACCAGGCCGGGGACCTCGCTTGACTCTCTCTGCCCAGGGGTCACCCGGCCTCCTCCTGTCTGACCCTGGGGTCGGAGGACCCATGGGACCCCCATGGTGCTAAAGGTCCCTTGGGGGGCCTGCTGGATCCCTGCCCCAGATCCCAGCCCCTCGCCCCCTTGAGTCTGTACTCAGAGTCACCTGCTCAGGGTAGCACCCCCACCACAGGGAACATTGTCAGACCCCAAGAGGGCAGGGCTCCATCTGCGTGCCCAGCCTGGGCTGCCACCCAGCAAGGGCTCCGAAGGGGCAAGGTGGGCGGGGTGAAGCCGCGTGCCCGGGCCGGCTCCCGCCCAGCACCACACTCACCCCTTACAGACCCAGAGCCCTGCCCTGTGCTGGTAAACCGTTCCCTGGTGCAGAGGACCTGGAAGGGTCGTTCCGGCAGCCCCACAGCATCGGTCACTAGAAGTCTTCAGACCTCCAAGTGCCCCCACCTCCAGCCCTCCATGAGCCCCCAAACCAGAGTCAAGGAGTGAGCCCCGGTCTGAGGGCATGGGTCCCTCTCCCTGCTGCCGGCCCCACTCACGTCCCGCCGAGCTCTGGGCCTGCAGGAGCCCGGACCCCGCCGACACAGCCCATGCCTACCTCTGGCCGACAGCTTCTTGGTGTTGATGATCTTGGCTGCATACTCATGGCCGGTGCAGAGCTTGACACAGCGCCGGACAACAGAGAAGGCCCCCCTGGGGAGGAAATGGGGGACAGAGACAGAGAGGAGAGCCAATTAATGTCCCTATGAGCATCCAGCACCCAACCCCAAAGCCCAGCCTGGGCAGAGATCTGTTTGGGGCAGGGGCACCAGATGCTCCTGGCCCGCGCATCCTGGGCACCTGCGAGGCTGTGGCCTTGTGGTCCTTGGTGGACCAAGGGCCTGCCTGGGGCCTCCCAGCGTGTGTATTCTGGCTCTCTGCACCAAACCGTGAGGCCCAGCAAAGTCCTCCCAGAGCCGGGAACCGGCCTAGCTCCAGGCAGTGCAGCTGGGACTCATCAAAGGTTTCAGAGGGAGGGAGAAGGATCATGCCACTAAGCTGCCCAGCTGGAGGCTAGGGACCCTCCCGGGTCCCTGTTACAGCAGAAGCTGCAAGTCCCACGCAGCACTGGTGCTTCTGAGAGCAGGGACGGGGGGACCAGCGTGGAGGTCCCAGAGAGAAACCCGAGAGAGCTGGTTACGGCTGTGAGGCCGCCACCAGAGGCCCTGCAGGCAAGCCACAGACACTGACCCCCGAGAGGGGGCGGTGTGCCAGAGACCGGAGAGCAGGCCGTGTGGGTCCCATCAGAAGGTCCTGCGTGGTAGCCCACTTGTCACCAGCACTGGTCTCATCTGCTTTAGATCATTTCCTAAGAATGCTAGACGGGTCCGCAGGAGTCGGGCCCAGAACAGGAAATGTCTCAGGAAGGGTCTTAGTCCAGCTGGGAGGCCACTGGGGACGGGTGGGCGCAGGGGCCACGTGGGGCTGAGCTGGGCCAGGTGGCGGACCCTCCACTGTCTTCCTCCCCAGAGGCCCCGCAGCCAGAGACCCCACAGCCGTTCTGGGCAAAGGCAAACGCAGTGTCACCAACGGAGAACCCCTGCCATACAACATTCCCGCTTCTTCCTGGCTTGGCTTTGCCCCGCGCTCAGCTGGAAGGGCTTGATCTCCGGACATGCGATCCGAAGGTCAGCGGCCGCCTCACGCTGTGTCACCAGCCCGCGCCGGTCACCTCCTCACGTGGGCTTGTCACCCCCTTGCAACTGTCCGTAAAACAGCATGGCGGAGACCATGTTCACACAGCCTCTCTGACGGCCTGTTGTTTAAACTGCGCTCCTGTGTGAGCGCTCTTACTGAGCCTGATTCGTAAATGAAGCTTAACCATCGATACGCACACACGGGAAAACACAGGGTACCCACAGGGTTCAGACCCATGTGCGATTTCAGGCGTCCACCGGGGGCCTTGGAACATGTCCCCCCCTGATAAGGGGGCACTACTGGATCCTTGCTGAGATAAAACTTCATTAAAATGTACTATTCACTTTCTTGGAAAAAATAAACACTGCACTAAATCTGAATATTTTCTTAACGATGCAGGTCGTTATAATCAATGGTTGTGCGTAGGGCTGCATCTTTGCTTTTCCAAAGTCAGCTGAAGAATCAGGCGGTGGCTGTTTCTGGGGGACAGGCAGGTTGGGGGACACACACTACTCACCCCACATCCCTGGCCCCCTGTGATCCTTCTCACTATGTAAGAAGACAGTAAGAAAGAAAGTTGATGTTTTGACCCTCGTGGCAGGGGAAAAGCCAGCAGCTTCCTGCCAGTCTGGGTTCAAATCCTGCTCTGTCCACACCGCATCGCTCTCTCTGAGCCTGTATCCCCCTCCACTGAGGGAGGCACCCAGGGGACCAAGGTGGGCTCATTCTGGGAGCAGGGATGGGCCCATAAAGCCCTTCCACCAGACAGGGTAGGTACAGGAATAAACAACAGTAAGCCGGGAATCCCACCCAGCACACAGCAGAGTGTGCATGAACAAGATGACCGAGAGCCTCCAGCCAGAAGGACTCTCTGGACAGACAGCTATGCGGACCCTGCCTGAGACTGCCCCTCTGCCCCACGTCCTGGGGGCCTGCTTCCCTCCCAGGCCTCAGAAGCTCTAAGCCTGGGACGGTGAGGATCTGTGTAAGGCCAGGGGCAGGCAGGCAGGGGCCAGACGCTGGACTCAGAGGGGATGAGGAAGGCAGTAGGCACAGTGCATCCAGCAGGCACTCAATAATGGAACTCACTGGACACAGGTCTTCTTCTCCCAGGGTCCCACCTGCCAGGTGAGGGGAGGGCTCCTCTGGGAGCCCCTTTGGGGTAGTCCCTGTTGCCTGGCCTAGAGGAAGTGCTAGAAAGAGCTGCCCCCTCCCCTGTCTGCCATTGGGCACCTGCACCCCAACGCCCATCAAAACCCAGTCCAGGGGGGGGCTGGGTGGGGGGCTCGGGTCTCCAACAGTAGATGCTGTGGAAGTTGCCAGGAGAGGCAAGCCGGGCGCTGAGAGGACTCCCTGCGCGGACCCACTGGCAGGCAGCAGAACAGGGCACAGGGAAGCCATGCGGCCCCAGGGGACGACCATTCCTCCGGCCTCTGGTCATTGCAGACCCCCAATCTCCTGCCCCGCACCAGGCATCTGCTCCTCCCCCTGGGCTGTCCCTGAAGGACTGCCAGGAACCGCACCTCCCAGATGGGCCACCTGCCCTCCCTGCACCTGGACTGGGGCTCAGCCTGGCATCTCAGAGCTGCTGCTGCCTCCTCCCCTCGCCGCTGCGCAAGGAGATCCCCCAGAATCACAAGTATGCTGAGAAGCACGTGCTGTTCGGGCCATGAGCTGGGGGTCCCAACAGCCGGGACATGATGAACAAGGGTGAGGCCAGCAGCGTCCTCCCTCGGGACTCCCCACATCCTGCCCCCAGAAATGTATCATTATTGAGAGACAACGCCCCAACCAAGTGCCCAGGTCTCTGTTCTGACCTCCCAGGACGGCTTCTCTGCTCCTGTGGTCGTCTTCTCAGCCTTCAAACCAGCAAGGGCTCGAAGGACATTTTCTCTTTTTAATTAGCTTGACTCGACTTTTAGAAGCCCTATAACGCCCTTGCTGCCCGGGGGCCCTAGGATCTGAACACTGGATTCAAATCACTTTCAAGTTGAACTCTGAGCTCCACTGGCAGGTCGCCCACCAGGCCTGCCCTCCTCTCCACTCTGCTCCCCACCCTCCCTGCTTCTCCCCTACAAGCTGCCACGTGGTCCATGGACCCTGGAGCTTCTAGCAGCACGGGGTCGCCTCACCTGGATGCAGTCCAGGGACCCGCTGCTCCTTCACCTCTGCTGCCTGTCTGTGGCTCTCCCTGAGCCTATCCTGGTGGGGGTGGGCCCCCCACACCGGTGTCCTACTCTGCTCAGGGTTCCCCCGGCCTCAGCCCCTCAGGAGACGCCCTCCATCCCTCCGCAGATACCCCCCACCCACTCCTGCCTGCTTTCCGCAGTCCAGCCCCATCCCAGTCTCTCGCTCTTTCTGGGGGCTGCCCCTTCCTCTCCATCGGCACAGGCAAACCCACTCATCTCACGGGGCAGACGCAGTGAACCAGCAGGCCGTGAGGGGCCCGTCAGCGCAGGGGTGCAGGGCTCGCGTCCTCACTTACCTCCCTCTCCTCCCCGCCCGACCTGTGGCCCCAGCAGCAAGGTCCCGCCCCGCGCTTTCCTCCAGTCTCTGAATTGCCCCCACATGCCCGCCCCCCCAAACGCCACATGCAACCTGCCCCTGACGCGCATTACCTGTGGCCGCCACAGCGCCTGCTCCCCGCCGCACCTGGCCGGGAGGACTTGCCCCTCCCTGTTCCGCCCGCCCTGCCCACCTGAGCACCTGCCCACCTGCCCACCTGCCCAGACGGAACCAGCCTCTGCCCGCCCCGCCCCCTGAAAAATCACGCCCCTGCCGGCCACGGCCCCTGAGGCCACGCCCCCGCCCCGCCTGCAGAGCCGGCCCCGCCCGCCCCGCCCGCCCCGCCTCTACTGGCCCCGCCCCCTCTGTCGGCCTCCCGCGGCCCCGCCCCCTGCCCCTGTCAACCACTCACCTCGCCCCTGCTGCTCCCGCCCCTGCTTCTCAGCGGGGCGGCTCAGCTCTCACCCGGTTTCAGGGCAGACACTGGGGGGCAGCGACGGCTGCCTCTCTCGGGCCGCCCCAACCCGGGGCACTCCCCGCCTCATTCCGCCCTCCACGCCTGGGCTCATTTGCACGGCCGAGCGGCGGACTCGCCGGGTTTTGGAACGAGTCGGAGGTCTAGCCCACACCGCACAGGTGGCCCACCCCCCCGGGTGCCCCGGGCGACGGGCCTTCCCCGCTGCGAGCTGAGCTGCGGCCCACGTCCGCACCGGCCTCAATCCCTGCAATAGGCCGCTGTATTTCCGCGGGGTCTCAAAGTTTACAGCCGAACAAAGCCAAAAGCCTTGAGTCAAAACAAAGGACAAAACCGTCATCTGTTTGGTAAAGGCACCCCCACAGTCGCGGATGGAGGTCCGCTCTGGATGGAAATGGCCCTCCTGAGCCCACGGCCGCCGGCAGATCGCCGAGACGATCTTTCTGGAACAGGCAAGGCAGGCAGCAGAAGCACCTGGCTGGTCCTGCAGTTTTATCTCCCGCTGCAGACTCCTAAGTGGGGGATCGGAAACCCGCCCGAGACCCTACCCGGCCCTTCTCCCGCGCCCGGCCAGCCCCAGACAGGCTCAGCTCAGGGGGGTCCAGGCCAGAGCCCAGGCGCAGCCCCACCCACCAGCCAGGGAGACCCTTCACTTGTTCATTCTCCTTCATTTAAACTAAATCAAGCTATTTATTTGTGTGTCAGCTTACTGCTCTTGCCCTATCTCTGACTGAAACGAGCTCTTTGGAATGACAGGGGTCCCTGTCCCTTTTACAGTTTCAATCTTGACTTAACTAAATGGGCGGAAAACATTAACTTCTACATGAAAGGGAGGGCCGAGACTGCTGTTTTTTATGTATTTTCCTGCTTATAATAATAATAATAAACATAATCCATGCTCCCAGCAGAAAATGGAAGCAACAAGATTAAAGAACACATTGAAGGTGCCCCCACCTTCATGACCTGGTGGTGGAGTCCCCTGCTGTTCATGTTTTGCTTTCTCCTCCCTCTGGAAAACTCTGAACAACTCTCCCAC